GCTATTGGCGCCTCGTGGATCCTGACCCTCGCGAATTATTTCATCATGGGTTGGTATGTGGGCATGTACGATAAATACTATCTCGATTCCTTCCAGGTGTACTTCTCGCTCATCATTGTCTTTTCCCTCTTGGGTAACGTTTCGCTGGCCGTTCTCCGATACCGATTGAACGAACGAGGATTCTTCTCTTCTTGTAAGTTTTCTCCTCCTCCCCTCCTTGCTTCCCCCTCAAACAACCCGCTAACCTCCCCTCCCACCATAGTCTTCGAAACCTCAAATGGCTCCTCCTCATGACCGTCTTCCTCGGTGGCCTCTCCATGCACGTCTCCCAATCCCTGCTCTGCCATTTCTTCGAAATCGACATGACCTGGGGCGCCACAGCCAAAGAAGTCGAAAACGTCACCTTCTTCGAAGAAATCCCGCGTCTGCTCAAGCGCTTCAAATACACCTTCCTCTTCTGCATTCTCATGTCCGCCGGTATGATTGTGTGCGCGCTCGTCGTGCCCTGGAATTGGCGAATCGATACGTTTGTCGCCATTTTCCCCCTGTGCACGGTGGTCGTGAGTCATTTTTTGATGCCCATTGCGTTGAATCCCGCGTTGATGATGTTTACGTGGTGAGTGGGGGATGGGAATGGGCGTTGGGGAAATAGATGGTCTGATTAATGTGGGGGTGGGGAGAGAAATGTATTTAGAGAGGAGGAAAATATCTGGTTGGATGGATCATCGGTATATATATATGTCTAGGTTAATATGGGAATGGCGTTGCTTTGTAATTTGAAGCTTTTATATACGGGAATAGTGGAACGAGGTGTTTGGCTTCATATAGAATATTATCACTGCGAGATGGAGATACAGGAAGGTGGATTTAGATAGGCTACCTAGGAAAAGATGTTTAACTTTACCATTCTTTACTCCAATTTCATTACTTCTATAATTTATATGTTTCTTTATAATTTTGTCCCATGTGGTAAATTCGCAAGTGTCGAAATTTCAATATACCATTCTACACAATCCCACTATCTACATCTACATCTACATCTACATCTCAATGGCAATCTACATACATCTAATTCCCACCTACCTACTCTCTTCTCAATAAAGGTTCCCTCTCCCCTCCCTCCTCACTCCCCTTCCCCTTCCCCTTCTCAACCCCGGCATTCTCCTAAACTTCCCCCCATCCACCTTCCCCACAACCCAACTCTCATCCCTCTCCGCACACTCAAAAAACTCCATATTCTCCTCGAAACTCCTCCCTCCACTCTCCAACGAATACCTCCACGTCCACCACCCGGCAAACATATTCGTTCCGGCAAACACTAGAAACAGCCAATATTTCAAATTATTAAATCCAATCGGCGTCAACAATGTCACCGCAAAATTTGCCAGTCCCCAGACAATAACCGAGATGGCGGATCCCTGGGCACGAGCTGAGGAAGGATAGATTTCGGTCGGGATCAACCAGACGGTTGCGAGCCAGCCGATTCCGAAGATGGCTGTTGCGGCGAAGAGAGTTCCGGAGCCGAGGATTTCGGGCACGAGGAAGGGGATACTTGGGAAGGTGGCGAGAGCTCCGAAGAGAGTTAGTAGGAGGAAAGAGAGGGAGAGGCCGATGCTGCCGTAAATCATGAGAGTGCGACGACCATAGACGTCGATGGAGAGCCAGGCAAATGTCATCATAAGGAAATAGAATATGTAGTTCCCGAGGGTGAGATATTCGGATTTACGGGTGGTAAAACCGAGGAGAGCAAAGATTTGAGGGCCGTAGACTAGAGTTTGAGTTAATAGGTGCGTAATGAGGAGGAATTTGAGCTTTGTGACAGAATTGGGTATGGAGAATGCTTACCGGATACAGCGCCATAGCCAGTGAGAGCTTGATTTATTTGACCCATTATCGTTATCATGGTTGGATGAAACTGGGCATGTCCTGGAGTAAACATATCTTTATATTGTACTTTCGAACCGTCTTCTTGAGCAGTAGATTCTTTGAGAGTTTCGAATTTCGATTTGGCTGCTTCTTTGCCATAGACTTTCTCAAGAGCTTTCTTAGCATCATCTTCTCGGTTTACGCTCATGAACCACTATAAACAATTAGCATTTTCTGTGAGATGTTTAGAGTTCAAGAGATTCTCAACATACCCTTGGAGTTTCCGGGAGTTGAGAAATGAACGACATCAACAGAATTGGGAAAATCTGCATAACAATAATCGGAGTTCTCCAAGCCCATTGACTATCTTTCCCCAAACCGATAGTAAATCCCAAGTTGATCGAATACGCCATCAACAAACCAAAGATATTCATCTGAAATTCTTGAGCTAATGCTCTACCTCTCGCTCCATCCGATGAAAGTTCACTACTATAAACCGGAATCGTCGAGTCTATCCCTCCGACCCCTAATCCCATAATAACTCTCCCAGCGATCATATATCCCAATGATGCACCTTTCCAAGGTGAAGATCCATGCAATGAAAAGCCGGAAATAAACATGAGTAAGTTCCCCAACGATGTTGTTGCCAAACAAGCAAATATAGATGGTTTTCTTCCTTCTTTATCGGCGAGCCAGGAGGCGAGAACAGCTCCAATTGCACATCCTAGGTAATAGACTGAGACGATTATACCTACTACAGGAGATTCTTCGCCAATTTGCATGGTTTTTAGATAGCTGCTGTTGGTGTTTATCAGGGACATCATTCCTGATTTGTGTTAGATATGATGGCGAGAGGAGCCTAAGTTGTACTTCAAGAGGAATGATACATACCTTGATCATAACCATAGAGAGCAATTGCTGTACTGGAAAACATGACGATCTCATGTTTCTTGCTTAGGAGAGGAAAGATGGAAGAACTACCTCCTAGTTTTGAAGGAGGATTCGGCATTTTGAAGATTGTGAGTGAGATGAGGTAGACGGAAATGTATAGATAATTGAGACCTCAAGACTGAGAGAAGATAGACAGCGCGAGAAGCACTTTGGATCTAGCTTCCTGAAACGAGAAGATTGAATGAGAGATTGAGAGAATGAAGATAGTAATTCTACCTCTCCATGAAGAAAGAAAACGAAAAGACAAAAAAACAGAGGGAAAGGATTTCCTTAAGCTTCAATTCAATAGCTACCTACCTCTCTGGGCTAGAATCACGGGTTGCAAACAATATTTGGATTTGTATTGGGAATTTGTTGGTCATGATTGGGATTTTAGCTGAAAGTAGGTACCTACCTATGTATGATGACATCAATATTTTGCGGCGGGAAATGTTCCGCATACGTATCGTATACTAGGTTAAGTAGGTTATCGATCGTGAGAACAATTTATTTATTTTATAATCAAACACTTCCATCTTCAAAATGAGTGTGTACGAAGTATACGATTGGAAGGAGTATGGGATTCATCAATCGACATATCTATGGTTGTTGAAATGGGAGAAGATATCAAATGATTGACACACATCATCCATGGGGAATTCATCAATCCCATTCGAACAATAAGTTGATCTCCAGCTTTATGCAGATACATTCTGCCTTGTCCACGTCACATCTCCACCGCCTTTGAAGCCACGAGGAAGGATACATAGGTACAATGTATGGATGAAGAAGAAGAAAGATGCCTCCACCAGTTGTATGTTCGATTAATATATCCTCATACTTGGACACATAACCCTAACATACTAAGCAGACACCATCCCCCCATCGATTCGTGATCAAAAGACAAGCCGGCCCTTCAGCTCCCCATCCACCCCCACGATCGCAACTCGCACAAGAATCAACTCCCCGCCCATCAAACACGCAACAATTCAATACCACTCCTCGTTTTACATTTTCCTCCACTCCAAAACCCAATGCTACGCAAAGTACAAAAATCCCATCATCCACACCCGCGGGACGATACTTACCCCCCGCTCGACAAAGTACAAAAGCAAAAGAGAATATCGATGACCCTTCAGATGATTACCCCGCGCATCTTCCCCTTCACGATTCTATAGATACAAACGATGATTTCGATATCGCTATTGGGTATTCTACCGAAGACGAAGACGAAGATGCAGACACAAAAGACTATGAAATAAATCCCCGATCATCCAAACGGCGACGAATTTCTGTTTCCCCAGATATCACCCTGGAAGAAAATGAAGATTTATTATCTTCTTCTCTACCTGTAATTTCTTCGCCGATTTCTCATCGACCTACTCAAATCTCATCCACAGGCAGCAAACCTAAATTTCTTCTCTCAACTCCTGTACCATTTACACCTCAATGCATTGCCCCGACGACTTTTCTCAAACCGCCTCGGTTTCGTCCGCCTGATCCTGCGGAGTCGCAGGGAAGTGGAGATCCTTTGCCTGAACAGTTTTCTCCGCATCGAAAAGGGAGACAATATTTAGCTGGGGGGTTGGCGGCGGAAGTTAGGGATTGGTTGATTAATATTGATTCTGGGATTGGCAGTGTACAGAAAGGGAAAGAGAGAAATGGAGAGTGGGTGACGAGGATAAAGATTGAAGAAGTGAGGAGGGATGGAAGGGAAATGTGTTTAGTAAGAGGTAGACAGGTGCGAGATGTGGATGGAGAGGAGGTTGTGGATAGTTTGGGGGAAGTTAGGGTTATGTTGGCTGGTGAGGGAACGGGGATGGGTTTGCAGAGGGGAATGGATGTGGATGTTGGGAGGATAGTGGGTATCAAGAGCCCGGTTTGGGAGATTGTGGTCGATGGGGTTAAATGGGGTGTTGGGGTGGAGTGGAAGGTGTTAGGATGATGAAATGATACGATATGAGATGACATGACATGATATCCTGGCCGAAGAAAGTGTATGATCAAACATAAATGTCTATGTATTAATTATTCGCCTACTATTTGGAGACGTCTCGCCTAGCTATCCAAATAGTCGCATATAAAATAGCAGAAATCTAGCAACAAAACAAAAGAACCCAAACCCCAAATCTATTAAATCTACGATCAAAAAGCCCCGAACACTTTCCCCTCAATTCTCTATTTCCCCCCTCTCGGTGGCCGTCTCATAATAACATGTCTCGTGCTCCCCATTCCCTTACCCCCTTCATACCTATCCAACTGGATATCCATACAATGCACAATCCACAAATCCATGTTTTGCGATAGAGACCAATACCCCAGGGACTAGCACCCAGTAATACTTGGAGGGATTTCTCATCCGCGAGTTTGAGTCCTTGTTCGAGGAGGAGCGTACCGATTCCACGGCGTTGGTGAGAGGGGTGGATGACGAGGATGTTGAGTTCTGGGGGAGAGGTTTAGTAGATTTTAGGGGTGAGGGTTGAAGGAGAAGGAGAAAGGGGGGGGAGGAGGAAAGAGAAGTTGAGGGTTTAGTGAGCTAAGGGAGTGATGAAGAAATAGAAAGGAAAGAAGAGGATATAAACGAGAAAGAAAGAACAAAACATACTCAACCACTTTTCTCCCCCACAAGCCCTTAACATATACTCAGCTCCCCTCACAAAAACATCCTCACACAATTGAACATTACTCCCCTTCCCCCAGATCTCCTCCAGCTCCTCTTTCGTCTTGATCCTCATCTTCTCCTCCTCTTCCAATCCCGTCAAGGAACCCACATCACCCTTCTTCTCTCATTCGCCCCTTCCTTCCCTTTCCCCATCTCCTCCCCACCCCCCCAAACTCCACCCCGCAATACCCACAATCTCCTCCATCCCCGCCACTCTCCCGTCCCAAAACAGCCTTACAATACCATCCCCCTCTTCCTCTCCCCCTCTCTCCGCTTTATCGAGAAACTTCTCAAATTGTCTCTCGCGCATCTTCAGGGCCTCGGAACTTCCTCTCTCTCTCCCAAATGCCAAGTCGCTGAATTCATCTTCTTCGAAGGCGAGATGTTCGAGGAGGGCGATGCGCGGGAGATCGGCTTTAGTGACGGGGAGACGCGTGATTTGGTTGTTGGTCTTATCATTGTGGTTGGGTTTTGAAGAAGGGAGTGAGTGGGAATTTGCTATATTTGTAGGATGAGGGTGTGTGATGGCCATTGTATATTAGGTAGGTGATTATAAAATGCGTTGGGAAGATGCTGAGGGTAAAGTGTGTATGAAAGGAAGTGCGAAGTGTGATAATCGATCAATAACCAGATAGGTAGTAGATGAAGATATAACACATATAACATTTACCACTCTGTACTAGCACTGTACGAATGAAGCAGATAGAGTAGAAGCAAAGCAAAGAAGAGCAGAGCAAAGTAAAAACCAAATATATCCAAAACAAGCAAACAGAGAGCAAGAATAAGAATATATAAAACCAGTCCCATCCAATCTGTCTATCGGTCTGTCTATCAAAACCACAACCCCATCCCATCCCATCCCATCCTATCCCATCCCATCCCAAACAAACATCTCCCTACCTACCTATCCCATCTACGTACCTCCTCCGCACCTAACCGAACCTTCCAAGTTCCTTTCCATCCATCCATCCATCCGTCTATCTGGAAATACAATAACCCACCACACCATTCTGCATTATATGCATGATCTCATACCCATCCACACCCACCACACACCACACACGCACCCTATCCACTCACCGGGGTCCCACGCCGTCCCACGCACTCACATGCAGGAACACCCGATCCAATCCAAAAATATCCAGCCCCATGTATCCTAGCATTCATATGCGTATCCGTGTGTGCACATCCCCAACTATCGGTGAAGCATTCATTCATTCATTCATTCACCACTCGCCTTCACCATATACAGTATATCACTCATGATCATCTGCCTAGTCCCGCTTCTCATCAAACCCATCAAACCCATCAAAGTTAAACTCTGTTTCATTGATATACTAGGTTTGATTCATGCAGGTGGACATCTATCTGCACACTGCTTGCAATTATGTATATTGCAACGGCTCGGGAGGCGGGTTCGGCTTCCGGGGTTGTGTGTACTTCGTACATGTTTACTTACATGTTATGTTTACTTGCTCACACATTTACATACATACATATCTACCTAATATCTGTAGCTAACCGAACGAACTGTGCGATGGTCTATCTATCTGTCGGTCTGAGAGTCTTACCATTGAGTCAGTCACCGAGTACCTACATCGTACATCGTACGAATATTACACACCATACATTTCATTATCCCGACTCCTAATTCCTAATTCCTAATTCCCAATTTCCAATTCCCACATCTATTCCCTCAATACTCAAAACTCAATACTCATCCCCCTCCCCCTCCCCAACCCCATCTAACAACACAAAATACAACCCAGAAATCTCCAACAACACCTCAATAAACTTCCATTTACATATTCCATAACCTTCCTCACCATTCTACCTAGATGTCATTCATTCATTCATTCATTCATTATCCCGACCACCAAGCCCCCCAAATTCTCAAGCTTCGAAACCTTCTCGCCGGGACGGATTAGGAAGGTATGTATATGTGATGCTCATTTGCACAGAACACGACACCACACTCGACATGGTGCAATACAACACACTTGACATGACATGAGACCAGTGAACCTCAACTCCCGGTGAACTTTTATCTTGTTCCTTTGTAATCATGATTTCTGGTTGGTCAGAAAGCGAGGTAGGGAGGAGGAGGGAACGAGGAGCGAGATCCGGAATTCTAGGTAAGCATAGAACTTTCGAAGTTCTAAACATTTTATCTCTTATTTCTTGTTTCATTCCAGATACAGGAGTAGTATATTTGTTAACATGTAAACCCGCCGAATCGTGTCTATTGTCATGCACATCAATTGATAATTCTCACATCTACATCTACATGTTCAACTGAGTTCAGAAAAGCATTTATCATTTCATTACCCCTTGAATTCATCTACTCGCTACGTCTACTCGCTAGGCCTACGCGTTATGCTGATCAGATGTAGAAGCACTAGTCTGTTGTATATCTCCAGTTGTTTTCTAATTTTCATCCCCTTCATCATTCTTAGTCTAATCGTCGCTATTCCCGACGAGCAGAATGCCCCTTCATTCACTTTCGCTACTAATTCCCATCAATCCGTGCATTTCTCCACCCGCTGTACCTCTTCGTCTTCATATTCTTCTCCCCGCCTCCAACCGACATTCATTCATCATCAACTGCATCCCGTTAAAATCGAAAATAACCAATCGAGGAGGCAGCCCACGCTTGCTGTTGAAGAAAATCCCACATATAATAACTCTCAAGCTTTTAATCTCTGCATATCCCTTCCATAGGAACCCGCCTGCACCCATTCATACCATGACATATTTCTCTTCCGAGATCCTGATCTTTCCCCAATATGTAAATACAATTATATTCCTACTAGCAGCAACTCTTTGTTGAAGAGTGCGTGTGCATGGCTCATCACCTCCCACCCTGCTCCATCCCATTTACCGAACAACGATTCCCCTACAACTCCAAATCATCACTAATCCCAATATCAATACTAGCAATAATATCATCATCCATAAGGGGTCTCCTGAAACCTGGAACTCCACCCTTCGAAGTCGTCTGCAGCCTACTAAAATTTGGTACCGGCAATGCATCCTTCTTAGCCGCCAATTTGGGAGTATTGTTGGTCGAAGTTCCACTGACTGGAGTAGCTGTCGCACTGTCTTTTCCACCAGTATGATCATGTTTAAAAGTAGCTCTAGTCTTGACACGACGTGAGTGATCTTCATCAACAATTTCTCCACGAGCAATTGCTGCTTCAGCTAGTCGAGCTGCACGACGTTCGTTAATTTGTGCTTGGCGTACTTCTTCAATATTCTTACGACGGTTGGTTCGGTTGAGTTCGGCAAGTCGATCTTGTTGGGAGTGAACGGTCTTCTTCTTTGGCGTGGGCTTAAGTGTAGTGCCATAAGCTAATTTGGCACTTTCAAGTGCCTCAAGTTCTGAGCGATATTTTTCTTCAAGTTCTGTATTTCCAAGGCTCTTCTGCTCCTTGATAGCGTTGTTAAGACGCGCACGTTCTGCTGTGTTCCATTTTTCCGTCAAAACACTCGACTTCTTTAACTTTGTTTGCAACTCCTCTTCAGTCCAAGGTCGGTTAACGAGAGCATTGATTTCTGCACACTTTTGCATCAACTTTGGCTTTGTTGGTACAGGTATGCCATCTGCGATACAATTTTGCTTATATCTTTGCCATTCTGCCTCTGTAAATCGAGAATCTGAACAAGCAATGAATGGCCATGATCTTTCAGATTTGCCGTGTGCAGCGATCACATATTGTGTTGTTGAGAATTGCTTCCCATTAGCAGACATCATAGCATATGGTCTATCTTCTTTGAAGCCTAAAATCAAGTTAGCTTGGGTTAATACAAGAATAATTTCAACGCATTAACCTTTAACAAGACCCATGCGGTAAAGATTCTGATTTGTCTCCTTATCAACACCAATATTCACCCGAACAAAGCACCCAGTGATAGCATCATCGAAGCCAGGATAGAAGCAGACCATGGCAAATCTACTTCTACCAACTCGGACTCGTTCAAGATCGTATAAAACTGCTGGCTCTGCATCACGGTAATCTGGAGATGCAGACCTCTTCTTCGATTTTGATGCTGTCCACTCAACCTCACTATCTTCATCAGATCCATCGTCTGAATAATCATCGCGATTATCTCTGCGACTATCACCTCCACGGCGCTCCTTGTCTTCTTCACGGCGACGTTGGCGATCATTCTTCTCAGCTCTTGCGCGCTTGAGACTGTCGATTCCAGTACTAGCTTCTCCAACTTTTCCACCACCCAGTTTAGTACGTTGGCGAGATGTCTTGCGCTGATTGTCGTCCAAATCTGCAGTACCCGCCTTGCGCTTTTTCTCTGCCTTCTTGTCCGCGGCATCACGACCATTCAAAAGTTGACGAAGTACTCTATTTTGTCGATCCCTCTCAATTTCTTGTGCACGATCAGCCAAGACCTGTTCACGTTCGATTTCAGGCATAGACATGATAGTTGCTTTATCGGAAGCGTTCATGAATCGACCTTCGAGAGGATAACGATCAGCATCATCGCGGAAACCTGGGCCATCAGAGTCGGAATCAGATTCATCCATTGGGGCTGATCGTTCTGAACGAACGGATTCGTCACCAGAAGAACTGTTGTTAATCATATTAGTATAATATCCATAATGGCTGTATATGGCTGCTGTAAGAACATCTCGCGATATCAATTTTTGCGAATTTGCGACAGGATGGAATATAACATCATCAGATAGATAGCCACGGTAAAAGAACACTTACGCTTCACCTTCTTCTTCAGAATCATCATTTCGTCTACCTCCCTTCTTTCCTCCCTTCTTAGCTGAACTCTTTATATTTCCATTGCGATCGGGTGATGAAGAACTATGCCTTCCGTCATTTGAAGCGACCTGCTCATCTCCCGAAGAATCATCTCCAGCGAGAGCGAGAAGTTCATCATCAATATCCGCCATTGTGAAATCTCAAATATAGCAAGTTTCGGTATATGTCGAGATTGCGATTGTAGATCAAAGACCCAGGGATAGTATATCGTAGGAGTAAAAGGGTGGTTGTAATGAGCTACGACCGAAAGTGCGTAATTTATAGTTTATCCAAATGTCGTGAAGTAAAAGGTTATTAGTTGTTGAATTGTAAGTAGTAGATGTATGCGAGAGACTGATAGAAAGAGAAAATCTACAGTTTCTTCCGAAATATGTTTGAATAACTGAAGCGTATGTTTGAAATAAAGTGAATTGATGAAGTTATATCTTTTGAGAACTTGAGTAGAACAATTCAGCCGGCTCTCCTTGGTAGGACATTAGCGTGTGTTTAGCGCGAATTGTTTAGTCATCATTACGATAACGTGATGATAAGGCATATCATCGCACTAGTGAATCACCGAAGCTCCGGTGTTCTAGGCGTCATGGAAATGAGGGATGGAAATATTCCTGAGGTCATTTTATATATTTTATCATTTCCATTGCTGTATTAGACTAATAGACGACTTATACATATCCCAACCACCAAAATGAATACTTCTAGACTTTCCAATCGTTCTGCTCGATTACTTTTCGCAACTCAATCACCTCTCTACGATTTCCTAGCACCAAGTTTCATCAATTTCCCCAGATCATCCCGCAGTATTCGCCAGCTCTCCACAACTCCTCCATCCTCCTCTTCAACCGCTTCTGCCAGCATCTCCTCACCCAATGCTCAAAATGCGCATGAACACCACACTACGAACCCATCTCACCCCGCTCCTCGATCCGGCGCAGAGGCCCTTCTCGATGCCTCCCCCTCAAATAAGCCCTTGACCCAATCCCAGAAAGATTTCCTCACCAGCGCCCTGCGCGTCAACCAAGCCGGCGAGCTCGCCGCAACGCTGATCTACACTGCGCAAACCCCTCCAATTACAAATGCACACCCTCATCTGCGTCCCCTCATGGCGCACATGTATGATCAAGAAGCCGGACACTTTGCCACTTTCAATCATCTGCTCGCTAAACATCGCATACGTCCAACCGCATTAACACCCGTCTGGTCACTAGCTGCATCAGCTTTAGGATGGGGAACCGGACTGATGGGACGAGAAGCAGCCATGGCATGTACAGAGGCTGTGGAGACAGAGATTGGGACGCATTATAATGAGCAAGTGCAGGTTTTATTGGAGATGAAGGCACAGATGGAGGCGAAAGGTGAGGAATTGGGAGAGGAATTGACGGAATTGTTGGAGACTATCAGGAGGATTCGAGATGAGGAATTAGAACATTTAGACCATGCCGTTGAACATGATGCGAAGAAAGCTGTGCCTCACGAACTGTTGACTGGCGTTATTAGAGCGGGGTGTAGAGGGGCAATTTGGGTTAGCGAGAGGGTATGATGCGATGTTCAATAAATGTATAAATATTGGGTACACACTGTTATACAGAGTGACAGGGTTTATATTTGATAGAGAGATTTATTTATACGATTAATCTAAATGTAGTACCATACAACCTTTTTCGACAAGATAGACCACTGAAATAAAATGAACTCCAATCTCCATTGCTTTCTTCCTATGCTAGAAATCTGTATGGAAACGCCGTCCCATGAGAATGCTCCTCTTTGTTATATTATAAGCTGTACACAAATGAAATGAAATACACAAGGCGGTATCTAGCGTTGCCATTAAATACTAGTTACTATTTCACGGGTTAGCGAATGCCGACTGTAATTCAAGGAGATATATCAACTTACTAAATTTGTAGAGGAGCAACTTGGTCGACTTGGTAAAGCCAGTTAGAGTTAAGTTCTTCCTTGATAAGCCAATCGTAAGGAAATACGACAAGATGGCCTTGAATCATCGCCAATAGATCCTCAACATCCTCACTAGAAAGTAGGTCATCGCTTCCTGAGAATCCCTTGCGGCTACCTCTCGTAGTACCACGACGTCTCTTCCTAACTGATCCAGTTTGATTCATAGAACTGCTATTTTCTCTTCTATCACCATTGGGTGTTGGTGTCGTAGAGAAGGTAGTCTTGCGGGTACTAGCTTGAGAAGTTGTCCCATTAGTAGGAGGCACACCCAGAGCAGTGGCGTCGAGAGCAGGGAATGCTTCGTTGCCAGTTGGTCCAATAGGAGATACTACTTCATTACGAGCAGCAATTTTCTCGTCAGCACCGTCATATTGACCCAAACGACTCTCATCAGATGTATTAATGGCTGCTCGAGCATCATGTTCTGCATTAGCGGTGGCAACCCATTCAGATACTGTTCCAAGAGGATGAGTACCGCCTTGACTATTCGGTTTTAGCTTTTCAGAAAGGGGGTTTCCGACTGAGCTTGAACCTGGAGGTCCATGTCGACTGGTCGCATCTTGTCCCTCTCGCTCATTAGTCTTTCCACCTCCTTGTGCTTGTACAAATCTTTCTGCATAAGCAACGAATTCTCTATACTCATGCCAATTCGTCACTTCACTATCTGGATTACACCTGAAGACTCTGCGATAGATCTTAGTATTGTTTTCGGCGATCTGTTGCCAAATTTCTTCCGCGAAAGCATAGTTCAATGGATCACGCATACAGTCCTTATGTACTTGCGCTATCTTGATGTCAGCCGTCAAGGGATTGAAAGGTTTGGGTACAGTATTTCCGGAGGCATCTATGATTATAGGAGGGCCACCAATATCGGTATCATCCATAACTGGCAATGCCGGTAATTGAGAAAGTTGTGAAAGACCAAGCTGCTCTGTTGTTCTCCTTACCAATTGAGGAGGAGGCGGCAATCCATTGTAGCCTTCTCCACTATCCGAGCTGTTCTTTCTTGGAGGTGGCACAGATCGCGCATGAGGTCTCTTAGGTTGATTCAAAGTACCCTTGCCTTCTGGGGCTACATCAGTGACTAGCACTTCGCGACCGCCTTCTACTAGAACAGAATCTCTACCCCTCGTTTGTCCTATTTGTGATAGAGATTTCAGTTTATCCGTTCCATCACCATCCACATCTGCGGCATGAGCCGCGTTATTTATAACTCTTTTATCCGTGGTCAATGGCTTGAACTTTTCGGGTTGTATGTTGGGATTGCCTTCTTGTTCCCAATCAACGTCGTGATTGAAGCTGCGTATATTCTCATTCAAAGCAACACGGGTAGAGAATTCATTAGAAACCCCTTTAGCCGGCGATGGGCTACCGTCACTACCTTCCTCTTCCTCGTCGTCATATATTCCATCCATCTGTGCTTTGAATTCTTCTTCTTCGCGGTCTAATTCATGAGTCTTTTCATCTTCCATAATCTCATCCACATCTAATCCCAAATGTTCTCGCATAAGACGCATGCGTAATTCATGGGCAAATTTTCCAACAAGATATGGTTTGCCGTCCATTGTTGACCATATCATATCAGTATCTCGAACAACTGCTGCAGTTTCCGAGTCTCTATTTCCCAACATAGATCTCTCATTGATATTAGCAGAACCAATCAAGGCAATTCTATCATCCACAATGATGACCTTGGCATGAATGTACAATTGCTCTGTAACGACCATCTTCTTTGGACCGATTCGACCCCATGTTCTGAGACTATAGAATTGTACAAATTCCTCGGGATCAATACCCTGACTTTTTAATCGTCCGAATATAGACCCGTCTCCACGACAAATACTTCGGAATTGACATTGCATGATCAAGCGCACACTTGTTCCTTCGGGTTCATCCACCGTATTCTGGAATCCAGGCATAAGTGGTATGAGAATCATACATTTCCAACTCTCATTGTTTCGATAAGCGCGTATAGCACGCTCTACAATTGCATCACCGATCTTGTTGACAATCTTTACATTCATCGTCTCACAGCTTGTGATAAAGAATTGATTCTCCATGTAGACGAAATGATCCGACTCCTCAATCATCTTGCAATAAGCAGTCATAATACTATGCTCGGTATCCGTAAGACCTAGGGACCAATCACAGGCTGAACGTAAGATCTGAACTTCACAAGTTCCAGTGAGACCAAGATCTTCCAATTCGGCCTGATTGTAATCAGGAGGGGGGAGAAGGAAAGGTGTTGGTCTTGTAGGTGTACGGCCTCTAAGTACGTAGTTCCATCTTTGCACAAAGTGTCTGGTCAAATCTCTAGCAGGTTGACCGGCGACTTGCATAGCAACATCGTGCCAAGGCATCCGAGGAGTCTTGGAACGATCATACATTTCTGCATAAGGTTCATTGAGTTTGTAGAAATCTTGAACACGTGGATTGGAATAATCTTTTCCTGGCCAGAGCTGGCAGTGATCAGCATCTTTAGGCGAATCGGAATGCTCAAAACCGGTAGGTTTATCATCCACCACAGTATGCTGAGGAGTATCCCAACGACCAAAACAAAGATCGATACCTCCAACAAAGGCAACTATGTGATCGACAATACAAATTTTTTCGTGATGCGCAAAGAAGAATTGATTTTTCTTGAACTGATTGGGCGATCGTTGTACAAAAATATTTGGGTGCAAATCCAGCATAGAGAACTTTGTGAATTCAGAATCAATAGGAATAGCAGCCTCGACGTTTCTGTAAACAATGATGAAAACCTTGACTCCCTCCCTAGCTTTCCTTTGTAGCAAACGATCAAGTCTCCATTTCTGACTGATAGCAGCAGGTCTTCGCATGTAAAGTTGAGGACTGAGCCACCAATCGTGAATATAAATCACATCCTTTGCTTCATTGATTGCTCGAGAAACATTCCACATGTAGTCACGACCATCTACAAGCCATTGCGCAGTAACTCCAGTTCTCACTGGAGCGAAACTACCAAATCTATGTTCCTTCGCCCATGGTGTGTTAGCGGCCATGAAATTTAACGACTCCTCGAATTGTCTGAGTTGACGTTCATTCTTGGCCAGTAACTTGATCTTGCGCTCGGAATTCTGAAGTTTGAGAGTGTGGTGTTGAGGGTGCTTAGCAGATCTACCCGCTTGTGAAACTTCCTCTTTCACTTTCGCTTTTC